GTCAGGTATGTTCAAGGCTGAAACTGAACATGTTGACTCAAAGCTGTTAATATGTTGGCCCACTTTCTTTGTCCAAGCTGACCAACCCCCTGATGGAGGAGGGTCATCTGTCTATCTGTTGTTTCATTGGTTAATTAATAAAGAAAACTGATTGGCCTAATAGGTCAGAACATAGGTGGGTGGAGTAGACAGAACAGAATGCTGGGAAGAAGGGAAGTGAGACAGCCACCATGGAGCCAGTCGCCAGGTCAGACATGCTGACTCTTTCCCGGTAAGCCACCACCTCCTGGTGCTACACACATTAATAGAGATGGGTTAATCAAGATATGAGAGTTAGCCAAGAAGAGGCTAGATATAATGGGTCAGGCAATGTTTAAAAGAATACAATGTGTGTGTTGTTATTTCCGGGGCTAAGCTAGCTGTGTGGAGCCGGGCAGGACAAAAAGCAGGCCTGCCTGCTTGCCTCCTCACTACAAACCCCAAATTAGGGAAGAGGTTCTGTCTTATCCCACCATAAACACGTATTTGTCCGAAGCTGTGGACCTTTCAAATCCCCTTCTTTGTCTAAGCTGACCAACCCCAAATTAGGGAGGGGAACCCATCCCAGGCCACCAAAAACACCGCCTGGTGCCCTTGGAGGCCAGAAGAGAACATGGAACTGGAGCTGCGTACTTTTAAGAGAAGCTGTGTAAGCTGTGTAAAGGTCTTTAACCCAGGACCTTTGGGGGAGCAGCAAGTGCTCATAACTGCTGAGCCATCTCTTCAGTCGTGTCTTTTAATTCTTTAATTGGTGAAGAAAACAAACCAGTCAAGAACCCTAGACGATAGCAAAGCCAGAACAGTAAGTGACAAGATGCTGGACTTATTGTGAAATCAGAAGCATCAGGCCTCCGGCACAGCACTGAAGCGCCTAAGCACCGTGCTTGATGAGCTATTCAGCCCACACTGGACTCAAGTCTGAGACATGCTCGGAGTGCAGAGCATTTGCCCGTGTATTTGATGACAAATCTGGGTAATTTTAGGCTTTCTATTATTAGTTAGTGAGAGCACTTCCTCAATGATTTCATTTCCCAACTAGCCATTTCACTTCAACAATAGTAAACAATTTTCTGGCTGGCTACCAGGAAGCTACACAAACATAATTATTTTGGAGACAAGAAATGCAAATAAAAGATTTAATGAATTTGTTTTCTGGGCACAGACACTAGTGGGAAGTGACAGGTGTGACAGTATGGGGTGGGGGAGCCTGCTCACCACAGCTCTCCTGTAAACCAGCTCCCCACCATCCACTCTGCCCATAGCCATAGCCTTCTCATTGCTTTTAACTCTCTTAAAATTTTACATATAAGCCGGGCGATGGTGGCACACGCCTTTAATCCCAGCACTCGGGAGGCAGAGGCAGGCGGATCTCTGTGAGTTTGAGCCCAGCCTGGTCTACAGAGCTAGTTCCAGGACAGGCTCCAAAGCCACAGAGAAACCCTGTCTTGAAAAACAAACAAAAAAAAATTTACATATAAATCGCATAAACCAGAGAGTGCAAGGCAAGCTTATGACCACAGATGTTAGGAAATTTGATCATACATAACAGGAAACCCAGTTAAAATAGGCTTACACCACACATTGAGGAATGGCAGTCACTGGGACGATCAAGAAGTCATCAACATTGCCAGTAAGGACCAAGTGTCACTTCTCTGCTCTAAAGCCTGCTGATGGGTACGTGGCATTCCATCACTAAACAAACAAATAACAAACAGCTGGCCTTTGTAAGGCAGACAGTGGCTCTAGTTCAAACAAGTGAGCTAGGGCTCTGTAACAAAGACATGCTGTCTCCTCTAACGGTTCCCACTCTCCTTGTGTGTACTTACCTGGAGAACCCATTTCCTGGTTTGTGTCAGGGTCTCAGGAAATCCAGGTGGTCTCAAATGCACCTAAAGCTGAAGCTTGTCTGGATTGCTAGAACTATAGGCATGAGCCACCACACCTAGCACCTAGGGAGTTTGTGTGCAATGCCTCTGCGCGTGTGCGCACGTGTGTGTGTGTGTGTGTGTGTGTGTGTGTGTGTGTGTGTGTGTGAGAGAGAGAGAGAGAGAGAGAGAGAGAGAGAGAGAGACAGACAGACAGACAGACAGACAGAGACAGAGAGAGACAGAGACCGACCAACTGGCAGTTAACATCTGAGGTCCTTCTCTGGGACACAGGGTTCATTGATTCTGCTAGACTGATTGGCCAGTGAACGCAGAGTCTACCCGTCTTCACTGCTCCAGCACAGGGATTACAAGACTATACCACTATGGCAGGCTTTTACCTGCTCGCTGGAGATTTACCTTACGCAGCGGCACCTTACTGACTGAGCCATAGCTCCATGCCCTGGGTAGATTCTAGGCTCTGTGACAGTTCTACCAGTTAAAAATATCTGGTCTGAGTCCTAGGAATTCAAGGTCTAAATCACAGTGGCAATTAGGAGTTCAAGGCCAGCCTGGAGTAAATCTGGAGCTCAAGAATAGCCTGGGCTACAGGAGACTCTATGTTAAAAAAACAAAACAAAAGATTTAAACAAGTTCCTAGGTGTTTCTGAGGCAGGTGGTCCATTCATGTGTCCTCTGACAACATTAACTCTTTACCTAAAGCCTGCTTGTGACTGAAATCAATGTTGCCATGGTAGCAGCCAATCTGCCTGCTGCTGCCCAGGCAACAGCTGACTCTGTGAGCTTCTTTGTTTGATAGCTCAAGGGACATTTTGAACAACAATCTCCTGAATATTTATTGCAAAAAGTACAGAATGAATACAAAGCAACTGACAATGGCTACGGGACCCGGGATCACAAACGCCTGTCACCACCTTCAGAGCACCCGTCTCTAACCAGCTCCCTCACTTTTATTCCTGCATCTGGCAGATGCCAGTCCCCAGTCACTCAACATGAATAGGATGCAGTCTCCAGTTTACACCCACAGCACCCCTGCTGTAATAAAAGTCCTGTTTGGGCAAGGAAGGTGCTCTTATAACCCAGCACTCATAGGATGGGGTGGGCACTAACCTGAAATATTCAATAAGTTGAAAGTCAGCCTATTCTATACATTGACACCCTTTATCAAGAAACAAAAACAAGACAAAAAAGCAACACACACATACACATGTGCACACACTCATGCACACGCAAAAATCTACCTCTATCATCATCAGCAGGCAAGAACTAGAATTTGCGGATGCCTCTGGACAGCCTGAAAAGCCAAGCCACCTTTGGAGAGCCCAGGTATCTATGAAGGTGCAGCCCTGTAACGGCGTAAGCGAATGCAGACAGATTGTCAAAATATAGACAGCTTTAATGGAGGAATAGACTTACAGAACTACTGTTCCCGCGAGAGCTGGAGCAAACTCGCCAAATTTAAAGGCAAACTTTAGCCTGAGGCGAACACGCCCCCTAAGGGGTGGGACTTATCCCTACACAGCCCAGTCCTTGACACATTGCCACAGAAAAGAATTCCAGAGTGAATCAAAGTGGAACAAGGTTGGTGGATTCCTTACACAGAAAGACAAGACACACTTAAAGAGAGTCAAGCGGAGGCGTTAGGAGAAGTTAATAGCTACTGAAGTACACAGTAGTAACTATTAAGTATGTGATTGGGGGAGGAGGGTGAAGCTACTTAATCAGAAATTGGGTTTAGATATTTGGCAAAGTATGTGATTTTTTCTTATCCACAGGATTTCGTCTTGAAGAGGAGACTTTTGACAGGTACACTGTGCAGGCTTGAAGCTTGAGAAGGGAGTTCTGGCAGAGATAAAACATTGATCACATGAATCTTTGTGGCAAACATAGGTCACAAGAGGTTGTGCTTAAGGCCTAATCATTAGCCAGTGTGTGTGTGTGTGCACGTGCACATATGTTTATGGTGTATGTGTGTGCACATGTGTTTACAGCGTATGTGTGTGCTCATGTGTTTATGGTTTGATGGAGGAAGGTAATTGGTTAATTATAATAAACCAACTGCTTGGCCTCATAGCTTAGAACATAGGTGGGTGGAACAGACAGAATAGGACGCTGGGCAGAAGAGGAAGTGAGGTCAGACTCTGCTCTGCTCCCAGAGAGACTCAACAGCTCTGCTCTGGAGCAGAGACGCCATGCTCAGCCCTCCCAGTAGACGCAAAGCTCTGCGCTCTGAGGCAGACGCATGAAGCTCAAACCCACGATGGATGGAGGCTAGAATCTTCCTGGTAAGCGCACCTTGGGGTGCTTACACGCATTATTAGAAATGGGCTAGTCCAGATGCGAGAATTAGCCTGTAAGGGCTAGAGTTCATGGGCCAAGCAGTTCTTAAATGAATACAGTTTGTGTGTTGTTATTTCGGGCATGAGCTAGCCAAGCGGCCGGGGTGTTGGGGACGCAGCCCCGCCGCTCCTTATTTCAACAATGGTTGTGTGTGCTCATGTGTTTATGGTGTATGTGTGTGCTCATGTGTTTATGCTATATGTGTGTGCTCATGTGTTTATGCTATATGTGTGTGTTCATGTGCACTCATGTATGGAGACCAGAGATCAATGTCTAGGATCTTCCTCAGTCACTCTCCACTTTACTTAATGATTGAACCTAGAGCTCATCATAGTTTGGCTAGACTAACTGGCCAGCACACTCCAAAAGATGCTCCTGTCTGCCCCCAGCACTGGGATAATGGACAAACACCACCGCACCTGACTTTTATGTAGACACTAGGGTTAAACTTAGATCTTCATGCTTGCACAACAAGACTGAGCCGTAGTCCTCAGTCATTCACACACACACACACACACACACACACACACACACACACACGTTGGTTTTTTTTAAGACAGGATCTCTCAGTAGCTTTGGAGCTTGTCCTGGAACTCACTCTGTGGATCAGGCTGGCCTCGAACTCAGACAGACAGAGATCTCTGCCTGTCTCTGTCTCCCAAGAGCTGGATTAAAAGTATGTATCCCCACCGCCCAGCTCCTCGGTCATTTTTTTTTTTTTTTTGGTTTTTCAAGATAGGGTTTCTCTGTGGTTTTGGAGCCTGTCCTGGCACTAGCTCTGTAGACCAGGCTGGTCTCAAACTCACAGAGATCCGCCTGCCTCTGCCTCCCAAGTGCTGGGATTAAAGGCGTGCGCCACCACCACCCGGCTCCCTGGTCATTTTTAAAATGGATATTTTTATTAATTCTTTGAGAACTTCACACGTGTACACGTATTTTGATCATATTCTCTCCCCACCCATCCCAGATCTACTCCCCTGCCTCCCATCCCTCCTGTCTTCATGTCCTGCTATTTTTAGGTAACCCAACGAGTCCAACTCGCTAGATCCTCATGAGAGTGGAGCCATACTCTTAAAGAACACTAACTCTCCTGTCTGCAGTCATCAACTCTCAGCAGTTCCTCACCTGCTGAGGGGCTCATGAGCCCTTCTACCCTCCATGTCACCAGTCATTTCTAACGATCTCATTGGTGCTGTTTCCCAAACAGAAGACTCCAGTCCTCTGTGCACTTATGTTTAAAGTTCCTGGATGTGAACCAGTAAGATGGGACTCAGAACCAGGACGGGGAGGGCTTTCCTTTCTCATGCCTTCTACTTCCTAATGGGCTGTCTTGCTTGACTCCTAGGCCTAAGGTAAATCAATCTTTGTGCTGGAGAGACAGCTCAGGGGTTAAGACTGCTTACTGCTCTTGTAGAAGCCCTAGGTTCAGTTCCCAGCACCCTCATGGTGACTTACAGCTGCCTATAACTCCAGTTCCAGGGGATCCAATGCCCTCTTCTGACCCTCTCAGGCTCCCACACACACACATACATACACCCAGGCACACACACATATGATTAAAATTAAAATTTTCAGAAAGTAAATAGACTTGGTTTCAAATTAGTGCCCAGTAGTTGAGGATTTTTTAAAGACTTATTTTATTTTTAATTACGTGTATACTTGTATGTTTCTTAGTAAAGGTACATGCAGGTTCTTAGTGAGGCCATGGAGGCCACTGGTTACAGGTCATTGCTAGTCACCTGATACGGGTGCTGGGAACAAAATTGGGGCCCTCTGAAAAAGCAGTATGTGCTCTTAACAGCTGAGCCATTTTGCCAGGTCTAATAATTGAGTTTATCATTTTTACTTTCACCAAACCGAAAATAATTCTTTCCAATTAGTTCCTTAGTGCAGACATTAGCCAGCTAAAGGGACTCATTTCAAGAGGACAGGTTGAGTGGGGTTTTAACAGCTACAGGAAGTGAAACAAGTCAACTCCTGGGATGGGGACTATGCTGCAGTCAGAGAGGAGAGGCATGGGTAGCGGTACACACCAGCTATCCCAGTACTCTCTGGAGGGGGATGCATGAAGATCAAGGATTTGAGGCCAGGCTGGGCTATGTGAGATCTAGTGTCAAGAAACAAAAGTCTAGCAAAGGAGAAGCAGGCAGCAGATGAAGCTGGCTGAGCTAATCTGTGTGTAGATATAATGACAGGATTTTCACATTAAGAGACCCTGGACCTGACCATGAGACATCCGCTCTTGCCTAAGGAAGAGTGGATGAGATACGAGGAGATAAGTCCTACTTCAGCCACATCTGAAGATGCTGTTCAGGAAAGAGGAGCAAGAGAAGAATGGGCGCAGAAGTGATCGTGTGGTTGAGATCTGTGGACGTGCCCAGTCTAGGGTGCTTATGAAGCTGCTTCAACCAGAATCACCATTTAAGAATGGTTTGCTCTGCAGCTGTCTCACCCTAAATGAGTATCTACTGGAATCATAAAAAAAAAAAATGTTTTGGAAACTACTAGACCAGGTTATAACTCCTCAGGCTCCACAGTCTAAGGACTTATTAACCTTATGCAAAGTTCATTGCTTGGGCTGCTGTTGACTTTTATGACTCTGCCAAAGGGATGTCTATCTGCACTGATTTCCCCAGGACTGATGTGGAAACACCTCCACCTCAAATGGGGATCACTGACAGCAGCTCTGCAGAGATCAGGCAGCTTGTTCAGAAATGTTCCATGGGCACTTTCTGTGTATGGTATCAAGGGCTAAAAATAGGTCATTACATGCCAGCAAAGCCTAAGTTGCTTTTTAACCAGGCATACTGATATGGGGATTAAGAGCAAGGATTCCAAAGCTAACCCCTCTTGGCTTCAACTCCTGGCTGTTGCTAGCTAGCTTTGACCTTGGGCAAGTTTCTTAATGTCCTCATGCCTTAGTGTTTTCATCATTAAAATGGAAATAATAAGTAAAAACAAATTAATGTTTGTTTGAGATAGAGTCTTCATTTTATTGTTTAAGCTGATCATGAACTCTTGGACTCAAATGATCTTCCTGCCTCAGCCTCCTAAGTAGCTGGGCCTGTGGACACATCACTATGTCTTGTGGTTTGTTTTTATTTGTGTATCTGAGTGGTGATAACAACGGGGGGGGGGGATTCAGATCTCCCACACACTGGACAATCGCTCTATCAGCAACAGCTCCTTTCTTCCTACGCTGCTGTGGCCTCTACTACCCCGAGGTCACGTGGCATTAATGCTGACACTCCAAAGTGATGAGTGGTTAACTGACATGGGATTTCTTGGGTCAGTAACATTTACACAGAATTTTGTTGTTTGTTTGTTCATGTTTGTTAGTTTTTAAAGACAGGATTTTACTATGTAGTCTTGGCTGGCCTGAAGTTCTCTATGTAAACCAGGATGGCCTCAAACTCACAGAGATCTGCCTGCTTCTGCTTCCCCTCTTGTTAGAGATCAGGTTCTGCAGTTCATCCTGGCTTTCAACTCCCTAGCAGCTGAGGTTGACCTTTAATTTACAGTGATCCTCCTGCCACTGTCTCTGAGACTATGGATCATTCCAAGTTAGTAACATTTAAAAAGCGATGGTAGGAGTCCGCCCCTAAGCTATGTGTCTTTGCCTCCTCAAGCCGCTGTCCAGCAATCAGGTATTGCAGTTTGTTGAGCCAAGTCGGCAGTTCGTAAAGGACTCAATTCGGCTGGTTAAAAGATGCACCAAGCCCGACAGAAAAGAATTCCAGAAGATTGTCATGGCCACAGCCATAGGATTTGCTATCATGGGATTCATTGGCTTCTTTGTGAAACTGATCCATATCCCTAATAATAACATTACTGTGGGAAGCTGAGTGCTTTCGGGAACTAGGAGCAAATGAGGGTGTGAGAAGCTTATCAAGTAAAAAGTTGCCTGTATACTTTGTGTTTTTCTTTCCTTTTTACCTCCCCAAGAGGTTTTGTATTTCTAAACTAAAATAATTTCAAAATTAACATTTTTCCCATGACAAAAAAAAAAGCGATGGTAGGCCGGGAGGTGGTGGCGCACACCTTTAGTCCCAGCAATCCAATCAGGGAGGCAGAGGCAAGCAGATCTCTGTGAGTTCAAGGCCATCCTGGTCTACACAGAGAGCTCTAAGACAGCCAGGACTGTTACGCTGGGAAAACCTACCTCGAAAAACAAAACCAAAAAAGCAGTGGTGACCATTTATACAGATTGGCAATCCTCTAACTGTGCCGGGAAAAGCTTCAGAATAAACTGCCTTCTGCTATCATAATTCTTTCATGAAAAGGCAGTTTTAGCAAAATGCCTACTAATCTGGGAATAACAGGACTATCTGTTTTGTGTACCTACACACTCCCACGGAAGTCAGGCCGACTACTGGGAGTTAGCTCCCTCCTCTACCATGTGGGTCCCCGGAATGAACTCCAGTTGTCAGGCAAGCACCTTTACCCACTGATCCATATTGTCAGTCCTTGCTTATTTTTGAGACACTATCTCACGTACTGTAGCCCAGGCTGGCCCCAAATGTGCTGTGTAGCTGACAATGACCTTGAACTCCTGATCCTCCTGCCTTCACTTCCAAACAAATGGGTTTACAGGTATGAACCACCATGCCTAGTTTTTAACAGGATTTTAACTGAATTGGATTTTGGCACTAGGAGCTGGGGAATATGATTCAGTGTAATGGCATTTGCCTGGCATGTGCAAAGCACCAGGTTTAATCCTCAGCACAGCAATAAATAAGAAAATAATGACTTCGGTTTAGCTAAAATAGAAAAAGGCTGGCAGTGTGGTGGCGCACACATCTAATCCTAGTACTCAGGAGAGCAGTAGACAGAGCTAAAAAGGAAATGGAAAACAGGGCTGACAAGATGGTTCAGGAGGGCGACATTTGCCCCCAAGATCGATGACCGAGTTCCATCCCCTGGACCCACATGATAGAAAGAGAACTGACTCATGCAAGCTGCCCTGTGACCTCCATAAATCCCTTTAGTGTGTGTGCATCCAAACACTGAGACAGGAAATCAATAGGCTCAAGTAAAGCGACAACTGTAAGCAAGCAAGCAAAACCAAGAACTGGAGACACCAGTCAGCGATTTCTTAACCTAGGATCCAGGTTCGATCCCCAGCAGCCATGCAGCTGCTCACAGATGTCCATAGCTCCAGTTCCAGGAGATCAGATGACCTCTTCTGGTCTCCCTGGGCACTAGGCATGAGCATGATACACATATGCACATACATACATGAAAGCAAAACATTTGTAAGTATTTCTAAACGCATTAAAAAACAAAAGAACTGTAGGCAGAGGTCAACCTGGTTACGCAGCTGTCAGGAATCTGACAGACGTTAGCAGTGAGAGCTCTGCTCAGGCAGCGCTAGCACAAACAGGCTCATCCAGAGCAAATGCTGCACACCCCTCAGTTTCCTGTCTTTCCTGGAAAAGCCATGACATTCACAAATTTCTCCAAAGTCTGACCAGTCAAGCTCTCTCCACAAACACTCTATTCATGGACACTCTGCCTGGAGCAGCCTGCTGTCCTGTGTGGCAAACTCCCTCCCTTCTTCTCCTCTTCCCTCCCCACTCAACTAGTCCACGACTGAGCTTCAGCTGCCAGCTGTGACAACACTACCCTGTTTTTTTGTTTGTTTGTTTTGTTTTGTTTTTGTCCACTCACTCAACCTTGAAATAGAGGTCTCTGACCAGGTCCTGTCTGTGACACAGCCTGTGGTCAACGCTGTTTGACAGGTTGAGACAGAGCAGTAAGACGGGAAACTGAGGGACAGGGAAAGGGAAAGAGGCCCTTACCTCAGACTCAGCTGAAGCTGCTTGCCAGCTGGACGGGAAACGTGAGTACAACCAACGCAATTTACTGTGAAGTCTGCGTACAGAGACAATGTTCCTCTGATATAGCAGGATTTAAAATAAGGCTCTAAAGTAGCAATAAGGAAGGATTTAGGCCTAAAAGCATGTGACCTTTGAGTGTAAGCTTACTCTTTTCCCAGCTGGAAGCTTGCAGCTTTCTGAGAAACCTCACAAACAAAATTATCAATTTTCTTTGCTTTCAATACATGTTTTAACATTTTTACAAGATTATTTATATTTTCTGTGTATTAGCGTTCTGCTTGTATATATGTATGTTTTATGTGCACCACACATGCATGCCTATGGAGGTCAGAAGAGGGCATCAGATTCCCAGGAACTGGAATTACACATGGTTGGAAGCTGCCATGTGGATGCTGGGAACTGAACCTGGGTCCTCTGCCGGAGCAGCAAGTGCTCTTAACTGCCAAGCCATCTCTTCAGCCCCTTTCTTTCTTTCTTTCTTTTTTTTTTTAATTTATTTATTTAGTATACAATGTGTGTATGTCTGCAGGCCAGAAGAGGGCACCAGACCTCATTCCAGATGGTTGTGAGCCACCATGTGGTTGCTGGGAATTGAACTCAGGACCTTTGGAAGAGCAGGCAATGCTCTTAACCACTGAGCCATCTCTCCAGCCCCTTTCTTGTGACCCAGCACGGTAAGGATTCTCTGACCCCTGTAACCTGTGTTATTATATTAATCTGTCATCCTAAACAATGAACCTCAGGACCTGCCCTGTCACTGGGGGACGAGGCGGGTTCTTAGAAACTCTTTAAAGATCTGGGTGTGGAAGCTCACATCTGTAGTCCCAGCAGCTGGGGAGCAGGATCACCACTGAGTCTGAGGACAGCATGGGCAACAGAACAAGACACTGTCTCTAGAGAATGCCATCAAAACCAAACATGCTATACAGCAAGGGATTTTGTCAGGTATGCTCATGGGCTGGCGGAGGGGCCCTCGTCTGGTTAGGCTGAGACACTCTGTGTACAATCTCTCAACAGTTAACTCCTACTGTGCAAAGGCTGCAGCTCTGAGGTAAGGACTGCAGCTATTTTGACTGGCTCACTCCTCAGCTGCTGGAGAAAAACAGCATAATTTTTCTGAATGGGCACACTTTTTTCTGGTTTGTCAGGCAGTACCTCTCCTTCACATACAGCTATTGCTATGGCACTTAAATTAATTCTTGAAAAGCCCATGTCCAGTTGGGTTTTTTGAGACAGGGTTTCTCTGTAGCTTTGAAGCCTGTCCTGGAACTAGTTCTTTTTTTTTTTTTTTTTTTTTTTTTTTTTTTTTTTTTTTTNCGCCACCACCACCCGGCTTGGAACTAGCTCTTGTAGACCAGGCTGGTCTCGAACTCACAGAGATCGGCCTGCCTCTGCCTCTGAGTGCTGGGATTAAAGGTGTGCGCCACCACCACCACCAGGCTCCATGCCAAAACCTTTAAGACCAGTCCTATGCAGAACTAACTATGTAGGTGAGAATGACTTTGAACCTTGACCCTCCTGCCTCCACCTCCCAAGTACTGGGGTTATAGGTGTGTGTGCTGGTGTGTGCCATCATGTTAGCCTTTAAAAAAATGTTTTTAATTATATTTATTCTGTTTTCTCTCTCTCTCTCTCTCTCTCTCTCTCTCTCTCTCTCTCTCTCTCTCTCTCAGCTCTGGCTGTCCTCGAGCTTGAGTTATAGACCACATTGGCCTTGAACTCACAGAGATTCATCCTCCTCTGCCCCGGCTTTCGTTGTTTGGTTGATTTGGTATTTTTTGTTTGTTTTATTGTTTTTAATCTTCACCTGCCTCAGCCTGGGCCCCCCTCCCAATAAAAGTGCTAGGGTTACAGGCATACATTACCATACCTAGCAAAATCTCTCTTCATACTGATCAGTCGTGACATTCTCTTTTATGGCATGGACAAGCACCCCAGCTTCACTTGAGTAGAGGTCTCTTTAAGACTTATAAGGGTGCACAGGCAGCAGTAAAGGCTTGCATCTCCCCATCCTGCTGATGCTCCTGCAGAAGCGCTGAGTGTTCCTGGGTACAGTGAGGGTTTCAACAAATACATCCCCAAATGACAAAATTCAAAGCCAAACTGAATATCCCAAGCTCTGCAAAATGGGAGATACTTGCTAAAGATCCCAGGGAGTGAGAGATACAGTATTCAGAGGAGGATGAACCACATGAGATTAAAAGGTATTTTAATTTCACCCTAGAGTGTGCTTCTCAATCTGTGGGTTGCAACCCCTTTGGCAAACCTCTATTCCCCAAAATATTTACATCATGATTCATAACAATAGCAAAATTACAGTTATGAAGTAGCAACAAAAATAATTTATGGTTGGGGCCACCACAACACGAGGAACTGTATTAAAGGGTTGTAGCATTAGAAAGGTTGAGAACCACTGCCCTATAGTATAAGATAGATCCATTTTAGAACCTTGACTCCAAGTCCAAGGAATGTTGTCAGCAACCTGGCTGTGCAGAATTTTGACTCTGTTACTGGAGATGAGTGTCTGGCCTGGATGTTTCCAGGCTCTTAGTAGCAAACTCAAGGAACTGAAATAGAGATCCACATTGCTACAAAGTGGCGAGGAAACGTCATTCAAACATAGAGCAGTAATGCAGACCAGTGAGGCCGCCAAGAGGGCTGGTGTGAATGAAAGCTCCAGGTTGAGCCCCTGAGCTGACTCAGAAGATAAACGCGCTTGCTAAGCTTAGCAAGCCCTGTGGCGTGAGTTTGATCCCCTGAACCCACATAAAGGTCAAAGGAGAGAACTAACTCAAGCTGGCCTTTGTGTGGTAACTGTCAGCGTTGTCCTCTGACCTTCACGCCATGCATTCTAGCCCATACCTATCACAACACACAATAACAGCAATAATTAATTTAAACCTTAAAAAAATAGTACTTAAGGGCTCTAGTAATTGTTTGTGGTTTTCCTTTTATGGGGTTTAAGGGAAAGGGGGGCTTGTTGCTAAGGGGGATAACCGGAGTTGTTTCTGTTTTGACTGACAGGCTTGGGTTACATGTTCCTTCCCGAGATGCATCTGATTTTATTAATATGTCCATCCAATTATGCACAGGTATAAAATGGTAAATAGAGGTTACAACTAAAAGTTCATTCAGAGGAAAGTTTGTCTTACTGAGCATGCAGCTGAAACCAGTCTAGGCCAGACCAGCCTCTCATTCCCATAGTTTGATAGAGAAATTATCTCTATTTCTTTTTCCAGAATGAACATTGTGAGAGTGTTTGTATAGTTCAAACCAAGTGGAATCCTAAGTTGCTAAGCTATTCCCTATGCTTACCTGCCTACTGATTCTGCTACTGATACACTATAATTTTTGGTAAGAGTCTTAACTATTTGGAGACTTGATTCTATCATATATTTGTTTTATCTCATTATGTCTGTCTATCTACATGGTGTGCATGTGGAGGTCAACTTTCAGGAGTCAGTTCTTTCCTTCCTCCATGTGGGTCCCAGCAATCAAATCAGACTATTTCTCTTGGCAGCAAGTGTCCTGACTCAGTGAACTGCCTCACTGGCCCTTGTTCTATTTGTTTGTTTGTTTGTTTGTTTGACAGACACTTTCCTTCAACCTGATTGGAACTCCAGGACATCTGGATTCAAAGCACAGAATAGCAGAGGAGGAGTGGGGACAGGTTTTTCTCTCACCCAGAGACAGGGTTCCCCAGGTCTCTCCTAGTTGAAGTCAGTTGCTAGATTTAAACATTCAGAAATCCACAAGCACTCTTGGAACTCTGGCTTAGTGAGCCAGTTCAGCAATGTTTCCAGCTGAACCAACAGCAGGCGAAACCAGACTGTCTGGAGACATTCCACTCCCCAGGCTCCAGAGAATCCTGGCAGCTAGAATTTCTCCTGTCTGGGTGGATCAGAGGTTTTCAGTTCTGCCTGCGCACTGGGATCACCAGGACAGCTCTGAAGACACACCTATGCCCAGGCTCTCCCCCACTCAAGTAAACTACAGTCAGGTTCTCTGCTGTTTGTTGCAGCATAGAACGGAACCTTAGGCTCTGCACACACTAGGAACAATCACTCTCTATCACCAAACCAACTACCTACCTTACACATTAGTATTTGGGGGCAAAGTTTTGCTTGTTTTTTTTTTTTTTATGGTAGGTTTTGTTGTTGTTGTTTCATTTTTGGTGGGTTTGTTTGGTTTTGGTTTGTTTTTGTTTTGTTTTGTTTTTTGAGGCACAGTTTCATACAGCTCCGACTGACTTCAACCCTGAAATGTAACTAAAACTGATTTCAAATTACTGATCCTCCTGTTTGCCTCTGTGGAATTCTGAGGTCACAGGCAAGCACTTCTGTTGGGAAAGAATATTTTCTGGGTTGCATAAAGACACACATGAACAAGATGAAAGTAACCTGACAAGGCAATTTCTTTTGGCACAAAGTGTGTGGCATGACCCAGACCAGAGGAGCAAGCACACTGGAGCCAGAAGTTCACCTAGTTTTTATTTTAAAGAGGCTGATGCTTATGTCTCATGCACTGGTGGGAGCTTCATTATACTACTCTGTGCATTTGAGAAACTCAAAATTCACCATAATAAGGGCTGGGATAGAAAGGATATAGAGTTCAGTGGTGGAATCTAGCATGCCTCAGACTTTATGTTCAATCCCTCATAACACACATGCACACTCACACATACGCACACGCATGTGCACACATACACATAGAGACAGACACACACACAGACTCAGAGTGAGACACACACAGACAAATACAGAAAGACACATGCATTCAAACACACAATGAAATATAATAAACAAGCCTGAATAAAGCAGGCTTTTCTTCTGTTACTGCCCGTGTCTGCTGCACTACTGTAGTGGGTCAAGTAAACTGTTCTACACGGTCCTGGCAGATGAATTCTTTCACTCCCTGCTAACCCCTAGCCACTTTCTAGTGTTTTGTACTAGGTACCACCAACTCTTCACTTCCATTTTTTACAGTCTCAAGACCGTTGTTGAATTTTACAGGCACAGAGAGGGCTGAGGTTGATGGCCAGTGCAGACACACACACAAACAGAATATTATATACATAATAAATAAATAAATAAATAAATAAATAAATAAATATTTTTTTAAAAAAAGAAGGAGGATGGTAGATGAGGGTGAAAAGGTTTAAGCAAGGAAGGGGTGGAAAGGATGGGGAGGCAAGGGATTAGGAGGTTAATCAAATTGAAAGAGATATGAAAAAAATCAGATGGAAACCTAATATCTAGTAACTCTATTTAAAATGTAATTTAAGTGTAGGAGAAATGGCTCAGCAGTTAGAAACCCTGCTGCTCCTCCAGAGGACCTGAGTTCAGATCCATGCCCATGTCAGGCGGCTCAAAATTGTCTTAGCAATCACTGAACTGGTGAGGAAACAATAAAGACAAGTCAGTAGCAAACAGCCTTGGCTTTTGATAAACTATGCTGTCAAAGGAGCTTCTAAGATATGGCTGCAGTTG